TGTAAAAAAACACTTGAATAGCATATTTAAACTAAAAAATATAAATTTGTGAATGAAAGTCAGTGTTTTTTTAATTAATAATTTTTGTTTATTTTCAAAGCAATTAATTATAAGCGCAAAAAGAGAGAATGTTCTTACTAAAACTTATCTCAGGAATTAAGTACATATGGCTTTAATTGTACACAATAATAACATATCTCAAATAACAACAGTAATCCCAAAGAGAACACCAAAATAATATGGAAGATCTGTAACTTTTATTTGTGTTTGATCTGGTATTTCACAAAGCAGTAAAAAAAGGTGTGCCTATGCAAGCAAAAATGATTCAATGCCTCACATTGTTAGTTACTACAGATTTACAAAAAATTATGATAAGAATAAGCAAGGTTTTTAAAAGCAACATTTAATTTCATTTTATTCAATGACAGTATAGAAAAAATGTTCTTAAATTATTTCAAAAAGCATTCCATACAATGCAATATTGTTATGATTATGTACAAAGAACAAATATGGTTGTTTGACATTTGTAGAGTCCGTGTATTTTAGTAAGTTTGAAATTCTAAGATCAAATCAATTACTGAGAATTTATTGACATGTCTAGCTGAAGAAAAATGATGAATTAAGGATTCTAAATTGTTTTACATTTACTTCTATTGAATATCTTAATTTAAAATAGATGAATTATCCGTGCATTAATTTTTTATTAAATATTGATTATGATTTTCTGGAGTTAAAAATGTATTAAATCATTAACAAGTAATATTTTAGAATTTCTAGATTGTTTCAAACTTGTCAACTTTATAATTGAAAAACATTTCTATTTTTTTTCTAGAAATGAAAAAATTTCTTCTTTATGCAAGGCGTTCTGAAATCAGAGGAGTGGATATAGACAATCCATATTTTAACTTTATCACGGCCTTCACAGTCCCTGATATTGATGATGTTACTGTGATAGATTTTGATGCATCTGAGGAACGTTTATACTGGACAGATATTAAAACACAAACCATTAAACGGGCTTTCATTAACGGAACTGNCGTTTATACTGGACAGATATTAAAACACAAACCATTAAACGGGCTTTCATTAACGGAACTGTGTTAGAAACTGTCATTTCAAGAGGTAAAAGATTTGCACATGTTACAACTTTAAAAATGTTTGTCATTCAATTTGTAATAATCACAAGTCTTCTTCATATTCTTTTTCTATTGTTTAACTCCATGCTATTAGTTGAAAATTAGAATTGATTATTCATAGATTTAATAATATGCTATATCCTTACAATCGTAGAATATTATAATTAAATTGTACGTAGCAGACTGATAACTAGAAATTTACTTTCATGAGAATGAAAAGGTTCAGAACAGATCTTAAAATTTACGTATTTCTAAATAAGCAGATTTGAAGCCTTTTTTGCTGATGGGGACTATTTACACTTGCCTAGAAAAAATATAGGCTATTGGGAAGGACTGGTTTCCCTCTCTGACTTAGGCTTTCCTCTGCACATATGTATACAGACAAGACAACACAAATAAGACAGGAAAACTTTCTTCCCCAGCAGGTTAAATTGTAGGTTCTCAATGAACGTTGTTGAATTAGCCATTAAAAAAAAAAANTTTTTCTTATTGCTTTCTTATTTGGTGTGTTAGCAGAATTTATCTCTGCAAAACAGGGAGATATGTAAGTGAAAGTGCATTATCAGAAAATGATGATGTAGTAACCTGCATAACAAAGAGGTGCTTAAGGGTTTTAATCTTCCTCTGCTCTTCTTTTAAAGTCACTGTAGCATCATTTTGTAGGGGATTATCGACTTGAGGGGGGAATAAAATGAAGTAAAATATGTAACTTGGAAAGATTTGTAAAAAAACACTTGAATAGCATATTTAAACTAAAAAATATAAATTTGTGAATGAAAGTC